CGATGTGTGGTCATACTCAATCCCTGTGAAGCCTTGGCTAGAATCCTGCAACTTTTTCCAAGCAATCCAATCTTTCTTCAAGTTGTCGTATTTATTTTTCATTTGTGTGGCAGAATGTAGGAGGCCAGTTCTGTCCAGGAACTTCTTGGCAAGTTTCTTATATCCACTCATTGACATGGAGCACAGTTGGCGATTTCCGTCCCCTATCCCAACTATGACCAGTTGCAAAAAAAAGCTTTGCCTTGTCGCTGTCCCAGGTGCATTTGTGTACCGGTTGTTGTTGGGTTGGTGCGACACCGGTCCCGCGACTTTTTGACGGAGTGCAGGGTGAAGTACAGGTGGATGCCATCGCACAAGTAGTGTTTGAAGAATACAGTTTAAAGAAAAAGTAGCAAGCAGAAACATAGAGTACATAGGAATGCACAATGGCTGGAAAAATAAATTATATAAAGCATATGCAGTTAAACCAAAACAGTAGTCCACATAAATTGATTGCAAGTTCAAGGCAGCTTGGAGCAACACATAAGTTAGGTTACAATACCCTAGTCAACGAAATTGATAAGTATAGACCACCGTATTTTTTTAAATACATCACATATGAAACAACAAGATAACAACTACAACGCACAACACACTGACGACTGTCCTAAGGGCATGGAGGCTCTGATCTATGCGAACAACGTCCGCACGTAACCCAATATCAACTGCAATCGGTGGGTGGTCATTAGCAACACTTTCGCTGCGAAACTCGTCACACCAACCAACCCACGGAACACGGCGCTGCCAGAACACAATTGCAATTGTTAGACGGCACAAGTTGGGCTATAAACACACAGGACGAAGTACGTGACAACTATATGTATGAAGGAGATGTGATACGCACCGTTCAACACGGGCAAACGTAGTATGCACGACTTGGGTTTTTGCTAGATCTCGAAATCTTTACGAGGCATTGTCTAAAGCCACATGGACACATCCTTCGTGGCCATGAAGAAGTGGCAGTTGACATCAACAATGCCATTTCTATTGTTTGCATTAACAGATGCGTAAATGTTATTAACAAAGAACTGTAAATGTTGGTCTCACATGAAAGAAGTTTAATGACAAAACTTTCTTCCATGCTACTTCTTTCATGTATGTACAGTATTATGGTTCGACAATTAGGGTGCACGAATAACCAAGACTGTACCCTAAGCATACTTCGTAAAACACAGTTACACATTTTGAGTACTATCAAAAGCATAGTCAGAATGTAACCATGTGTACATATATGTTTTAAAGTGAGAATTCAATATGTGTTGTAATTGAGTTGCTTTTAGAGCATTTGTTGATCATTAAAAAGTCTAAATTATGTGCACCTTTATGTTAATTGGTTACGAAGAATTGATCATTTGTTGAGTTGCTTTATATACCAATTGTAGTTAATGCTTCAGTGGAGAACTGGTTACCCTTGCCAAGAATGAGCTTATATTGTGTGAGTAAATGCAAATGATTTAATACACCATAGTTGAACACCCCTTTAGAATTGAATTCAAAATATTCTTAAATATTTAAAATAATAAAGGAAGTTTGGGTAAGTTGATTTTGCTTTCATAAGGAATTAGAAAGTAACATATCACGTATGAACAAAAAAAAAAATTTGATGCACACCAAAGTGTCTTCATTAAGAACTTCCTCATACAGGCATTCCTAATTAGAGTGAGAGAAGTTGCCACAGTACTAGGTTTGATCTTGTCCCTTGCATGTTATTAAAATATGAAAATCCTTGCAAGAATAGTTCTTACCTATTTTCTTACCTAAGTCTAATACATGATTTTAAGCATAAAAATTTTTTTTAAAAAAGAAATAATCTCTTTTGTAACTATATTTCATGAGAAAAATCAAATAAAATACCAACCAAGAAAAAATATGAGTTCTCTAAAGTTTTCGCTAATTGAAACTGACATGTGGAAAACAGGGAGGCAGCAGTGTGAACCAGTGAAATCCCTAAACATGAAACACAAACACGGTGGACTAATCGAAGGGAAACAAGCAAGATTCAAGCAAATCAGCACAATTTCATGGAGAACAAGCCGTATTTGGGTGAAAATCCACAAAAAAAATAAAAAAAATTGGGTTCACTCTCCAAAGGATATCAGATTCGCAGCTGAAGGTGGAGGCGTACCTAATTCTGCGCAGACACCGACAACGAAGCCGACGTGGAAGAGTGTCGTCGGAGGCGTTACGGAGGGCCAATGGGTGAGACATTGGTTTAGCGAGGCAAAGAAATCACAGTAATGTCACAGCGGCAAAAGAGGAGCAGTAACCAAGCAACGTCCTCTTTCCAATCTGTGTAAGCCCTATTGCAATATATAACCCTAGACAACAATGAGGGTAGTATCGTAATTTCATGTAGTTGCTTATAATCACAATCCCAAATCAATTTTGTCGAAAAACGCTGGCGTCTGGCATTGGCGTTCTCGGCTAGACACAACTTATAACCCTATTGCGAAAATAGCACTAAACGGTTGGTTGGTTGGCAGGTTGGCTTGTCTTTCAAGCCCCATTTGTTTAGGGTTATAGAGAGTGGATTGGGATTGATAGTGAAGTGAGACCTACTATTTTTGTATTTATTTTAGGAGATAGAGAGAGGATTCGTAATCGCCTTTGGATTATGAATCCCCTTGGAGAAGGGATTCGGATGAGCCTCCAGCACTTGGTATTAAAAAATAGTCTGCCGAACTTTTTTTTTTAATTTTTTTAGTTTTTATTTTATTTTTTACATGTTGGGCATTTTTTTTTTTTTTGAACATTAATGTTTAATATTTCGTATTTTTGTTAAGTACAAATCATTGTTTTATTTGTTTTATTTTTTTCTATTTTTTAAATTTATTTTTTTATTTTTTATTTTTTACATGTTGGGCATTTTTTTAAAAACATTAATGTTTAATGTTTTTATATTTTTTTATTTGTTTCATTATTTTATATAAAAATAATTTAACAATCCCTACACCAATTATCATGAAAAAAAACACAATTTTACTTAATCCCCTCACTATCAATCCCCCTCATTAACAATCCTCTCACTATTAATTCTCTCACTATGTATCCCCCCATTCTACCTCTGAAAACAAATGGGCCACCGAATTGGAGTGGAAATTAGATAATAAGCACATGACCCTATTTAGCAAGTTAGGTTTTAGATTTTTTTTCTTTTTCTTTTTGCTAAAATTCATAAAAATAAAATAAAATAAATTTAAATAGTCAATAAGATAAAATATCACATCAAATCCATAATCATTTCATTTTTTCTCTCACAAATGTCACATCTAATTAAAAAAAAATCTAACCATCTTTCAAAATACAAAAAAAATTAACCTATTAAAATAACCAAAAATTAAAATAGCTAACTCCCAAATGAGACCATAAGTTCATCCGAACAATCCTTATCATTAACCCAAAAAACAATAAATAAATAAACAAATGTGAGACTCCCCTCAAATTACTTATCCCTTGTTTGGCATAAAGAGTTGAAAGGTTTTTTTAGCTATTGTAGTTATAAAAAGATAAAATAAATTTAAAAATCAATAAGATAAAATATTATGTTCAAACTATAATTATTTTATTTTTACTTTCACAAAAGTCAAAAAATTCATTCCAAATAAGATATTTTAACTTAGATTAAAATAGCCAAAAAACTAACTTATATCTCAAACGAACATTTATCAAATAAATATTATATAAAATGTTTAGTAATTTATTTAAATGCACATCATTGCTCAAAAATCACGCTAATGTGGGTTGACTTTTTGATTATTTGATTATTTTAACGTTAGGCTAAAAAATCTCATTTAAAATAGACTATTTAACTTTTTTAAATTTTATAAAAAAAATAAAATAATTATATATTAAATAGGATGAATTACACTAACGGTCCTTATAGTTTGGGGTTTGTGTCACTTTGGTCCCTGACTTTTCAATTGTAACACATTTAACCCTGACTTTTCAATATTTTAAAAAAAATCTTTTAAAAATTCACTAAATATCAAAAATACAAAAAAAATACAAGAATTTAGTATATTTTTTTTGTATTTTTATGTATTTCTTAATTTTTTAAAATATTTTTTCACAATTTTTTTACTTTTTAGACGCATCTAAGTAAGGTGCATCTAAAAAAGTAAAAAAAATATTTAAAATTTTAAAAATATTCACTAAAAACAAAAAAAATACAAAAATCAAAAAATTCAGTTTTCAAAAAACTTAATCTAGAAAACTCAAACCAAACACAATGATTAGATTTTTTAAGGGCAAGTTCGTCAATTTGATAAAACATAAATTAATTTGACAAAAATAAATGTCAAAAAATTATTTTTGAATTTTTAAAAACTATACCTACTAAAGATAAAATTGATAAATCTTTTAGACATTTATTTTTTTTACCAAATTAATTTTTATTATGTATTTGGATGATGATCATGTCAAATTAATTTTTAAAAATTAATCATGTAATTTTTATTAATTTTTATGAATTTTATATAATTTTATCTTTGATGGATAGAAATAATTTTTAAAATTTTTAAAATATTTTTTTGACATTTATTTTTGTCAAATTAGTTTATATTTTTTCAAATTGACAATTTTAGCCTTGAAATTAAATAATGGTTTGTTCAATTGTCCTTATTTAAAACATGATTTAAAATTCAAGATCAAATGTATCACAATTGAAAAGTTAAGGAGTAAAATGATACGAGTCCCAAATTATACGGACTGGTAGTGAAATTTGCCCTATTAAATATGATATTTAATCTTATCTAACTAAAATAACGTAGAATATTTTAGCGCACTGCAATGTTAGGTATCATAAAAAATCTTTCATGAAAATAATCATAAAAATTTTGTCACTCTTAAATTACACTCAAAATAAAATACCATACACTAATTAAAATAATCTAATTCTCTAAATCTTTTATGATCATAAAAAAAATTTCATCCCCCTAACTTTTATCTATATCGCAGTCCGCATGCCAAACCAAGCTCTTATTTGAAATCTTAGATCAGATTTCCAGGAGAGAGAGAGAGCAATGGAACTTGCAACTCTCCTCTGCACCATCACACTCATCTGGTTCATCACCACCACCATCATCAAACCACTCCATCGCCGCCGCACTCCTCCCCCAAACCTCCCACCAGGTCCCACCGGTCTCCCCATAATAGGCTCCCTCCACCACCTCGGCCGCCAACCCCACCTCTCCCTCACTACCCTCTCCACCCTTCACGGCCCCCTCTTCACCCTCCGCCTCGGCTCCGCCACCACCGTCGTCGCCTCCTCCCCCTCCACCGCCAAACTCATCCTCCACCACCACGACCAAACCTTCTCCGACCGCACCGTCCCCGACGTCGTCACCTCCCAACCCAACCCCAACTCCACCCTCGCCTGGGTCTCCGGCGACCACCGCTGGCGCCTCCGCCGCCGCATCTGCGTTACCCAGATGTTCAATTCCCAATCTCTCGATTCACTCCAACACCTCCGCCATCAAAAGGCCAAAGAACTCGTTGCCCACATCTCAAAACACGCTGATTCGGGCTCTCCGGTGGATATTGGCCGGGTTTCCTTCGCTACGACTCTGAATTTGATCTCGAGCACCATTTTTTCTTGCGATATGGTGGACTCGGAGTTTGAGAAGGCTCAGGAGTTTAAGGACTTGGTGTGGAGGATTATGGAGGATGCTGGAAAGGTGAACTTGTCGGACTATTTTCCGGTGATGAAGCGGTTCGATTTGCAGGGGGTGAAGAGGCATATTAGGCCTGCGTATTTGAGATTGCATGAGATTTTTGATGAAGTAATTGATAAGAGGGTGAGAGAGAGAGAGGGATTGGATTTGGGAGAGAAGAGTGGGGAGAGGAATAGGGATTTCTTGGATGTGTTGCTTGATCAGTGTGAAGAAGATGGGTCGGATTTCAATCGTGAAACTATCAAGCCATTGATTCTGGTATGATTTTAACTACTATATTTTACATCTTTCTCTGACACTCTGTGTGGGTACGGGAAAAAGAAATAATCACTCTGCTTCTTTTGTGATTTTTCAAAAATACTTTTTAAAAATTTTTATTTTTTTAATTTTTTGTGTTTTTTTTATTGAATTTTTTTAATAATTTAAATAATTTGTTTAATTTTTAGATAAACTTAACATAAATACACATAAAAAAATATAATTTTTGTGAAAAAATCTTTTAAAAATTCACTAAATATCAAAAATACAAAAAAAATACAAGAATTCAATACATTTTTCGTATTTTTATGTATTTATTAATTCTTTAAAATATTTTTTCACAAATTTTTTACTTTTGTAGATACATCTAAAAAAGTAAAAAAAAAAATACTTAAAATTTAAAAAATATTCACTAAAAACAAAAAAATACGAAAAATAAAAAAATTCAATTTTTAAAAAATCTAATCTAAAAAATTCAAATCAAACACACGGAATGGTGTTTCTCACTTAGACGTGGAAAGAAAAGAAATGATTATAATTTCTTATTATTAGGTTTGATGATTAAAAAAGAAGAAAAATATTATTTCTCCTACATATTTTTTTTTAGATAAAGTATATAAGAGGGAGGGAAAAAAAGTGTTGTGTTTTATTTTATCAAAATAACTTTTCATATTAATAAGTTATGTTTTTGGAAAATTTATTAGAAAATCCTTTTTCAAATGTTTGTATCCCAATTAGTACACAAGATATTCTTATATTCTAATAAGTCCTATTATTTAGATATTTGATCTACCAAATCCTAATTCTCATATTTAAGGTATTTTATGGACATTTCTACCCTTATAAATATTTTTTGAACGTTTAGCAATTTGGTAATGTAAATATTCATATTGACGTGTGAATGTTCATATTGACATGTTATCATTCATATTGATAGTGTGAACATTTATATTGATGATGTGAACATTCACATTGATGGTGTGAACATTCGTATCACGAAACATTCACACTGTAGATATAAATATTGTTAGGCGTATTTTGATAACTATTTCATCTATAGGACTTATTGGAACATAAGAAATAATATGAATTAAATGGAACATAAATAGACGAAAAGGAATTTATAAAAAAGTGTCCCTATGTTTTTTTATAAAGATAATTTTGATATTTTTAAAAAAAAAATATTCATTAAACTTAATTTCTTTTTTACTATTCTTGGTGAGAAACCAAAAAATATCTCTTATCATTTCTCACCTACTTACACTATTTTTTTTCTTTTCTCGTCAAACTCTTCCATCCAAATAGAGTGTAACATCCTGCATGTTCATAACAAATTAGCAATAAAAATACATTTGAGTTTGTTTTTGAAAATTATTTGTGCATTTTTTTTATTTTTTTTTTTGATAAATTATAATAAATCTTCTTGAACTATGATCGTTTTCACTTTGCTTCCTTAAGTTTAAAACTTAACACTTTACCTTTTTGGTGCTATATCTTGTGACACTTAACCAATTCCGTTAGTACATCATTCGAAACTTGGATAGAAACATGTCATGTGATTGGCACATGACAAACTAAATTAGATTTTGAAACTAAAGTGTCCTTATTTTATTTTTTCATAGCCAAACAGGACCTATGTATTGTGCATATGGATATATACTCTGGAAAAATATCATGGTTTGCTGTTTCTCTCTCTCTCCCTTTGTTACCACACCAATGGACTTCAACAACACATACTTCGGCCATTTTCCATGATGCATCAAATGGATCATTAAATTTAAATTTGATAAAAAAAATATTTTTTTGCTTCACTAATTTTATCAAATGAGTATCAAATTGAAAATATCAAAAATCTCACTAAATTAAGGATGTTTACATTTTTCATCATTTCACTGTTCATAACCTTTATATTTTCATCACCAAGATGCTTCCGAATGACTATCTTTTTGTAAAAAATTATGAAAAACTTACATTGGCCGATGGATCGGCTAGATATTTGCTCAGTCGTTCACTCAGTCAACTAGTGATTTGATAAACACCTCCATTAAAATACTTGATATCAAAAAAAAAAAAAATTATTTAAATTTTTACTTAAATTTAATATTTAAAAAAAATACATAACCTTATCTCAACCAAAACAAGTCCCATTATTTATAACCCACCAATTATTGAATGTTGATTGTCATAATCACAAACACCACTGGACAGAAGATGCCTTTTGTTTGAGGTAAGAACGATGAAACATGCAAGGATGTCTCTTATTCACTCATGCATTAGTCTCACCGACAGTCATATCACATATTACAAGACAAATATAGATTGATTGAATCAGTACGTTGACGATCGCTTCAAAATTGATTTTTCTGCGGAACAAACTCCAGATACTGCATGTAACTAAACCAGTGGTCGGTTGTGGAGGTGGAAAAAGGAATGATTGTGTTTCTCACTTAAATAGGAGAAGAAAATAAATGGTTATAATTTTTTTTTTTTTATGTTTAGATTAATAAAAGAGAAAAAAATTGTGATTTTTCATTTATTTATTTTTTTGAATAGAGTAAATAAGAGAAAAGATTAAAAATATTGTGTTTTATTTTATCAAAATAACTTTTGATATTAATAAATTATATTTTTTTTATAAGAATAATTTTGGTATTTTAAAAAATTATCATTAAACTCAATTCATTTCTCACCACTTTTGGTGAGAAACAAAACATAGATTTGGTAAGAATTCTTTTCTCACAATCTCTCATTATTTCTCACATATTTAATCATCCAAGGAAGTGAAAAGGTTTCTATTCTTATCATTTATTTTATTTTCTCACCAAATTCCTTCATCCAAACAAAGTGTAATATCCTACATTTTCATAACAAATTAGGAACAAAAATACGTTTTAGTTTGTTTTTTCAAATTGTTTTGAGTTTTTTTTTGGGGGGGTGCTCTTTTATATATATATATATATATTAAAATTTTCTAGTATTTTAAAGGAAAATTTATTAGAAAATCCTATTTTAAATATTTGTATTTCAATTAGTTCATATAATATTCGTGTATTTCAATAAATCTTATTATTTTAGATATTTGATCTATCAAATCATAATTATCATATTTAAAGTATTTTATGAATAATATTACCTTTACAAATATTTTTGAACCCTTAGTAACTTGGTGTGCACTATTTTGGACTATTTTGAATGTTCTATGATGTGAACATTCACATTAAATAAATTTGACAGTATAAATGTTCACATCATGAAACATTTGTACTATCAATGTAAATATTAATACGTATTTTATCCTATTATTATTAAGAATAGTTTGGTAACCATGTCACCCATTGAACTTATTAGAACATAAGAAAATAATTTGAACTGAATAAAACATAAGTAAATAAAAAGAGATTTATGAATAAATATTTATATTTTAAACCATTTTTTTAAATAAATCAAAAAAAGTAAATATTTGTGAAAAAATATAAAAATAGTGTGCAAGCTTGTGGACTAGACCTTCTTTGAACCCATGGGACCACCATGGGTCTCGCATCAATCATATGAGCCGCACATATTATTTATCCTATATATAAAGTGAACACGTTTTATAATGTTTTGTAATCTTGGTTCCTTATACTGTTACGTGTTTATTTTTTTATTTAAAATAAAATAAAAAAAAATAGATACATAAGAGGAGAGGACTTGAATCTTAGACTTATATATGTCAAATGAATAAGACTCTTACTACTTAACTAGTACACAATATATAATAAATATTTTATTTTATATTCATTTATTTGAATTGCACACGCACCGCGTATGCCAACCACTAGTATACTATAATGTCTAGATTATTCATAAAAAATAAAAAAAATTATATCAATCATCTATAATTTGACATTTATATAAATAAATAAATAAAAAAGATAAATATTATTTCAAAGTTACATTATTTAGTTTTTTGAAAATAAATGTAATAAACTAACATTGTTGCATGTTATGACCTAAAAAATGAATAGTTTAGATATGTGGTGGGTTCCACAAACACACATAGGTTTGAATCGTAAAAATAATTTGATAAATGCAAAAAATATATATACTAATTTTTTATATTTATTTTAATTTTTTAAAATATTTTTGAATTAAGTGAATTTTTAAAAAAATAATCACCTTGCTTGGTTTCCAGTTTTTCAAAACACTTTTCAGAAAATTCTACTTTCTTATTTTTCGTGTTTTTTTGTTTTTACTGAATTTTTTAAATATTTTAAGCATTTTTTTTACTTTTTAGACACACCTAACATAAATACACCTAAAAAGTAAAAAAATTGTAAAAAAAATCTTTTAAAAATTCACTAAATACCAAAAATACCAAAAAAAATACAAGAATTCAATACATTTTTTGTATTTTTATGTATTTATTAATTTTTTAAAATATTTTTTCACAAATTTTTTATTTTTTAGATACATCTAAGTAAGGTGCATCTAAAAAAGTAAAAAAAATGTTTAAAATTTAAAAAATATTCACTAAAAACAAAAAAACACAAAAATTAAAAAAGTCAATTTTCAAAAAACTTAATCCATAAAACTCAAACCAAACACAGTGAATAATTTTTTGTAAAATTTTAATTACTGCAAATCTTTCATCATTTTTTTTTTAAAATTTTTCCTCAAATTTACCTTTTCATTAAATTTTAATGGGGGAAAAAATCGTTTCTAATGTTTCAACTTTTAAAATTACTATCAAATTCAAATTTCATGAAGAATTTAATAAGTCCTCAATTTGATATAATAAAAAAAAAAAAAATTGACTATCTCTTGCTTTGATGAACATTACACAAAAGAAATAGAGATCTGATAAAAAAAAAAAAAAAAATTGACTATCTCTTGCTTTGATGAACATTACACAAAAGAAATAGAGATAATTTTTTAACATTTTTTCATTAAATTTAAATTTGATGGAAGAAATGTGAAGGATCGAAGATGTTTTCTAAGATTATTATTATGGGAGTGCGAAAATATGTTTGAGAATGTAAATCCTTTTAATTTTTAATTATTTTAAATTTTTTAGTATAATTATGATATTTTTTTTGAGGGTACAGTGGTCGCCCTCCCCACCTCCTAGCTCCATCATTGTTCTTACTCGTTCCAAAATTGCATGACAGGACTTATTCATCGCCGGAAGCGATACATCTGCAATAACAACAGAATGGGCAATGGCAGAACTCCTCCGAAACCCATCCCTCCTTCAAAAATGCCGACAAGAACTCCTCCAAACAATCGGAACCCAACAAACCAACCCCCTCAAAGAATCCGACGTCCATTCTCTTCCATACCTCCAAGCAATCGCCAAAGAAACAATGCGACTCCACCCTGCAGCCCCCCTCCTCTTGCCTTACAAAGCACGCAACGACGTCGAACTCCTCGGCTTCACCATCCCCAAAGACACCCAAGTCCTCGTCAATGCGTGGGGTATTGGGAGAGACCCCGAGTATTGGGACAATCCAACTTCGTTTATGCCTGAGCGGTTTTTGGATTGTGGGGTGGATTATAAAGGAAGGGATTTTGAGTATATTCCGTTTGGTGCTGGTCGGAGGATTTGTCCCGGGATGCCATTGGCGACGAGGATGGTGCATTTGATGGTGGGGTCGATGGTTCAGGCGTTTGATTGGAAGTTGCCGGAGGAGATGAGGTCGGAGGAGTTGGATATGGAAGAACAGTTTGGAGTTACTTTGAAGAAAGCTGTTCCTCTTCTTGCTATTCCTGTAGTGGAATGAAGGGTTGGATTGTAAATCTAATCCTTCTAAGTTTTTAGTTTTAAGTTCTAAGTTTTAAGGGTTGGTTTTAAGTTTTTAAATATAGTTTTTGTGTTTCTTATGTTTAGTGAATTTTGTTTATATGCTAGTGCATTTGGCTCAGTGATTGTATAATTCTCATGTGAAGTGAAGTCTCTTTAATGATATAAATATTTATCCTACCGATTAACAATATATTTTTATAGAGAGAAAAAGAGTTTTTATTTTTTGTGTTTTGTTATTTTTAGTGATTTTTATTTTTATATTCTAATCACATTTGCATTTATCATATTTTGATTCACAAATGAAAATATGCCCTCTTAGATTTGTTTAAAATATAGATTGTCTTTTGTGATTTTGAAAATTATATTCTATTACTTCGAATTTTTAATTGCATAATAAATAACTTATTTTATTAATAAATTATAAGTCAATTAACAGTTTTATCATAAATATATTTCAATTAACAATTTATATAATTTTATTATTGTATAAGAGAGTAGTTATAAATATTATTTTTACTATTAGTTACGAAAATTATAACAAAGATATTTGTAATTTTCAAAATTATAAGAACATTTTGTATTTTAAATAAAATTCATGAGGTGTATTTATAATTTATATAAATATTAAAAGAAAGATGAAGAAGAAATATATTAGATTAAATCAAATGAAAAAGTTCCACCCACACAGAATTTTAACAAAGGAAGATGAAGAAAACTCTCTCATCCTCTCTAAAACAAATGAAAACAACAAATTTTGTTTGAAATTCATTGCATATAAAGCTGAATGTAAATAAATTAGGGTAAATTATAAATACACTTTCTGAGATTTGTTTAAAATACAGATTGTTCCCAAATGATTTGGAAAATTATAAATATCCCATTGTTAGAAGTTTTTATTTAACATAATTAACAAAAAATAATAATTCATAATTGCTCTCTTATGCAATAATAAAATTACCTAAATTATTAATTGAAATATATTTCTAATAACATCATTAAAACCTGTTAATTGATTTAATGATTTATTAATAAAAGAGGCGATTTGTTATGAAATTAAAAATCTATTAGGGTAAAGTACGTACAAATACACTTCTTGAGATTTGTTTAAAATACAAATTGCCTCCAAGTGATTTGGAAAATTACAAATACCCCATTGTTAGAATTTTTTATTTAACATAATTAACAAAAAAAATAAAATTCATAATTGCTCTCCTATGTAATAATAAAATTACTTAAATCATTAATTGAAATATATTTCTAACATCATTAAAAATTGTTGATTGATTTGATGATTTATTAATAAAAGAGGCGATTTGTTATGAAATTAAAAATCTCAGGGGGCATAATGTAATTTTTAGAATTATAGAAAATAATTCGTATTTTAATTAAATCTTAAAGGATGTATTTGTAATTTATCCAATAAATTACTATATTTGTTGAGTAATTAATTGTGTGTGCAAACTTGATAGATGTACTGTTAAAATTGTAAAAAGTTACAAATTTGATGTGAGTTTGATCTAAATAGTTACATGAGATAAAAAGTTACAAAATTTACGCTACAAGAAAAAACACTTTCCGTGACTAACTTTTGGTCACGAAAAGTATCATATTTGGTCGCTAAAACCTTTTCGCGACCAAAATATGTTAGTCGCGAGTTGGTCGCTAAAGCCTCGTCACAGATAGTTTTCTGCGACCAAAAAAGCCTTTGGTCGCTAAAAGTGACCATTCGCGACCAACTTTTTTAGTCGCGGAAAGTCCAATTAATATTAGCCAAAAGTAAACTTTTAGTGACCAAAGATAAGTTGGTCGCCAAAAGTCAACGCCTTGACCCAAAAAAAATAATTCTTTTGTGCTGCCTAGGACTTGAACTCCTGACCAAGGAGTCACCATGCACTCAATCCACTCTGCCATTACCATGCTTCTTGTTCATATTTCGTAAAAAATATATATAACCCATAAAAATTCGATCATATATTATTTTATAAAACTTTTAATGCCTAAACAGAAAAATAGCACGTAATTATAGTAGTATCATTTTTTTTTAAAATTTATCCCGCCATAACTTTCCGCGACCAACTTTTTTTTTTGGTCGCCAAAGGGTAATCTTCCACGACCAAAAAAGCCTTTGGTCGCCAATAGTATACTTTCCGCAACCAACTTTTTTTTTTTGGTCGCCAAAAGGTGATCTTCGCCAAAAGGTGATCTTCTGCGATCAAAAAAGCCTTTGGTCGCCAATAGTATACTTTCCGCGACCAACTTTTTTTTTTTGGTCGCCAAAGGGTAATCTTCCGCGACCAAAAAAAGCCTTTGGTCGCCAATAGTATACTTTCCGTGACCAACTCTTTTTTTGGTCGCCAAAGGGTATACTTTCTGTGACTAACTTTTTTTTTTAGTCACCAAAAGGTGATCTTCCGCTACCAAAAAAGCCTTTGGTCGCCAATGGGTATACTTTTCGCTACCAACTTTTTTTTTTGGTCGCCAAAAAGTGATTTTCCACGACCAAAAAATTGTGGTCGCCAAAAGTTAAATTTTGGTCGCAAAAAATAGACTATTTATAACCAAAAAAAAAAAGGTGGTCGCTAAAAGTATTTTTTCTAGTAGTGTTAATTGGTGGAGCTAAGTCTATCTTAAGAGAGCATTTGTAGATATTAGTATTCTACATTATTGGTCTAAAACTTTTATATTTGACTCTTAGTAAGTGGGGACTCTTGTAATCATGTATTATTGGCCTCCTTTGCCTATTTCTTAAATCAATCAAAAAAATAAAAAGATCAATTTTAATTTTGACTCCAAAAATTCCAATCCTCACCAATTAATTGGTAATGTTATAATTATTAATTTTAATTGGAAATTGAACATGTTATGAGAGTTGGCTAAGAAAACTGATGTGGTTTAAAGTATATCAAAATAATTTTTAAAAAAAAATCAATAAATTTTACTTTAATACTATAATTTACAATAATTTTAACACATAAATCAATCCTCTCAATATAATGCTACTTAATAAAAATTCAATTAACAAAATAGAACTTAATAAATAATTTTGTAAAAAATTATTCCAAATGCATTTCCAATAACACCCTCCCAATGAAAGGGCAGCCAACGGCCTAATGAGCCGCCTAACCCACCCATCTTATGCTGTGTTTGGTTGCGGGATTTGAGGAGGGATTTGGAAAAAGAAAAGGAAAAGGTGTGTGAAACTAGGTGAAATGCGGGTATATTTTATTCATATTTCACCTAACTTTTTCATTTCCCTTTCCAATTCCCTCCTCAAATCTCCCAACCAAACACAGCGTTAGCGTGATAATTTTAAGGTTTAGAAAATTATTTTGTTCATAAGGTTAGGATAGGTTGAAATTTTGTACATATTTAATATCCAGACTACTGTTGGGATAAAGAGTTGTAGCCAAGGTTGGCTCGGCCCAACCATTTATAAAATATTAATTTTGTATCATCTTAATTATAAAATAAAGTAAAAGAAACATGAATTAAAATATATGTACTTACTTTTTAGGGCTTAAATTAAAAATTTGTTCAAAATCATTTTTGTTTTATTATAAATTTTGTTAATATTCCAAATTGAAATAATCAATAAAAGAATTAATATAATTTATTATTCATTTTTAAAAATAAATTTAACAACTTATCTATCTATCTATATATTATATGAGAAAAATGAAGTTTAGGGATAGTAATCTGAAACCGACCCGATGGGGACCCGATCCCCCGATCCCGAATATAACGGTTATTCCCCGAAAAATATCCCCGACGGTCCGGGGATGGTGATAAAAAAAAAAAATCTCCAATGATATTCGGGCCGAGGACGGGGATACATGTTTCAGTCCTGGCCCGCCCCGGCCCCGGCCCCGAGCCCATTCTCATCTCTATCTTTTATTCATTTAGATCTACTCTCTCTCTCATTCATGTAGATCTACCCTCTCTCTCTCCATTTCTCACATCTCTCTTCCTCTCCACCGTCTCTGGTCTCTCTCTCTCTTCTTCACCATCTCTCACCGCCACCTTCTTCTCCACCAATACTCCCACCACTCCCCTCATCTCTCTTCCTCCTCCTCCTCCTTCTCCTCCACGGATCACATCGCCATCGATCATTTCTCCCTCTCTGTTTGACCATGTCTTTCGTCTCTCTCTCCCTCACTCATGGGATCGTGGTTCGATGTGAAGCTTTTTTTCACTTAGATCGTGGTTCGATCATTTCTTCTTCACCATCTTTCATCCGTACACAGGACCAGGATCGTGGTTCGATCTGGACAAACCGTGGTTCGATCTGAAGCTACCGATCTGGATCGTGGTTTGATCTGAAGCTACCGATCTCTCTCTCTCTCTCTCGTTGATGAACAAATTTTTTTGAAGCTGAAGCTGCAAAAGCCCTCTCTCTCTCTCTCTCTTGTTAATGAACAATTTTTTTTTTTAAAGTTATATATATACATCTGTTGTTGTCTGTTTGTGTTGATGAACAAATATTTTTTTTTAAAGTTGTTATATATATATATATATGTATCTGTTGCTGTTGGTGATGGTTGTTGATCTGAACAGTTCTTGTGTGTGTTGAGAACTGTCGGGGATATTTCGGGGTCGAGGAAACCCGATCCCCGTTAAGGGATGGGGGCGGGGGTGGTGATGGGTTCCCTATCGAGGATCGAGGTCGAGGCCAGGGAGATTTTCACAATCGGGGATCGGGGACGGGAAGGGTGATCCCTAGCCCCGCCCCGCCCCGTTGCCATTCCTAATGGAGTTTCTAACTCACAAGTCTTGTGAGAGTTCAATATCTCAATCTTAATTTTCTAATTTTTTTATTTAAAGAAAAAACCCTTAGCATTTATAAACTTCTCCCAACCCACAAGTCTTTTTGACTTCTCTCATACTTACTACAGCACCATTTTCAACTCCTCTCATACACTAGGGTTGGTAATGGGATTGCTAAATTATTTTTTATAAAAAAATCTTTAAAAACATAATTTGTATATTAAACAAATATCTAAAGTAAATATAAATTCTTATTAAAAATAACATGTTGCAATTGCGGAAAAAAAAAAGAGAAAAAAAAATTGCACTATAAAAATAATTTGTATATTAAAAAAAATCTAAAACAAATATAAATTTTTATTAAAAAACAACATGTTGCAATTGCAGAAAAAAAATTACACTGTGCATTTCATTAAAATCTAAAAAAAAACAACAT